CCCCCCCCCCCCCCCCCTTTTACCATCTTTGAACACCTTTCCTCTTGTTACTTAAAGAGCTCCCTTGTCATCTGTCCTGGCTGCTCAGAACCCCACAGCGTGGATGTGCCATAGCTTACATAACCGTACCCTCATCTCGGAGGGTTAGAGCGACTCGGAGTGGAGGGAGCCGCGTGGGCCGTGGCCAGGCTGGGTGTGGTGGTCCCCGGTGTTGGGGAGGCCCTGAGGCTGGGGGCGGGGGGGTCTCAGGGTCAGCTTTGTCTTTTCAGAAAGATTGTTCCCTTCCTCTGTTCACTCCCTCGGAGCCCCTTCCCGCACCCCCTCCAGGACTGACCAGGGTCCCCGGGCACCCCAGCACCGGGCACAGCTGTGACTGTGCCGTTCATGACCTGGCTGTGGTTTGGTTTTGGAGGGCGTCTCCATCCCACTGTGTTTTCCTGAGATAAAACTCACATGGCATCGGGTGTGCCATTTGCACCCTTTACTGCTTGTTTTATTAAAATATATTTTTATGGACTTCAGAGAGGAAGGGAGAGGGAGGGAGACAGCAGCGATGTGAGAGAATCGTGGATCGGCTGCCTCCTGCCCTCTGGGGAGCGAGCCCCCAGCCCACTCATGTGCCCTGATTGCGAATCGAACCGGGACCTCCTGGTTCGTAGGTTGACGTTCAACCACTGAGCTACACCGGCCTTGCTTTCCAAGACCCGGGAGGAGTTCAGCTGGCTGTTCACACCTGGGGGAAGCTGAGTTTCCGAGGCCAGCACGGGTGGGGTGCTGCCCGGAAGGCTCCCAGAGCACCGCCGCTCTGCCCACCGGGTCTCGAGGGGGGAGGGGGCAGCCCAGGAGGGCCCAGCTCTTCCCCCTCAGAGTCACATCCCGCCCCCTGTGCTACCGGCAGTGGGCGCTGGGACGGGTGAGGGTCACCCTTGGAGCCTGAGGTCTGCTGGCACAGTAAGTAATGGAGATGGCAGACACCCTCACACCCACCCAGAGGGCAGGAGGCTGCCCAGAGCTCCGGGGGAGCGAGCCTGGGATCTCGGGGATGGACAGCGTCTGAGGAGACTTCCCAGGAGTGGGAACGTGACCTCCTGGCTGAAGAGGACACACACGGTAAAAAGCAAGTGGCCCAATCGGCCTGCCTCAGAGGTTGAGTGTGGACCAATGACCCAGGAGGTCACGATTCGATTCCTGGTCAGGGCACAGGCCCGGGTTGCGGGCTCGATCCCCCGTGTGGGGCGTGCAGGAGGCAGCCGATCCATGTTCTCGCTCATCATTGATGCTTCTGTCTCTCTCTCTCCCTCTCCCTTCCTCTCTGAAGTCAGTAAAAAATATTTTAACAATAAAAAAGCGTGTTCCAGACCTGGGAGCAGCAGGTGGGAACTGCGGGTGGAGAGCGGGATTGGGTTCAAGGTCTAGGCGCAGGGACCCGGGGCGGGGAGAGAAACCCACCCCCCACCCCCCGCCTGACACCGG